TATGGTTGAAAAAAAGAAAAATATTATAGGCTCAAAAAGGGGACTACAAGGGATATATATATATATACATATATGGATAAATGAAACAAAGCCGTTCATCATCTCATACACAAAAGTCTTCGCAGAAGAGGTATCCCCAAGGGGATAAATTTTCAGGATTAAGTTTTATTCACATGAAAACAATGTAATTAATGCATGATAGAATCATTTTGAAGTAATTCTCTTTTCTGCTTCTTGCTCCCGACATGCCTCAATTGTTCCCGGTATGCCTCAATTGCACAGGTTCGTCCTCAGAAGATTGCTTCGAGATGCCCCACATTGTTTATTCTGGTATGAAGGTTCATGTTCAAGTGAACATTCAACGTCTGCAGGTTTTATTTGTAAAAAATGTTGGTTTTGCGTCTAAGAAGATAATGGTATGACTTTACTGACTCAAAGGTATCAATATGACTCTCCATGGAGTATTTTGGGTAAAGAATCAATGGATTTTTTTTAACAGGATAAGAAAGGTCTGATCTTGTCATATGTCAAAAATCTATAATTCTTGAAGAGTTAAAAGAATCCTTAATTCATTTAATATTCGCAGAACTAAAGATTAAAATTTGTTCAATTATTTCACCTTAGAAGGTAGCATAAATTCAATCATTTAAAGGATTAAGCAAACATGAAAGATCAAAATGCGTTCAAACAAAACAATGCTCTCAGTACAAATGATAGATATAATGCCCCCTTCTTCGATTGTCCATGCTCCTGAATCCATCAAGTTTTGAATCTTGCGCTTCAGTGTCTTACAGTTCTTAGAGGAATGTCTGGAGCTTCCTATGTGGTGTCATGTGGTTAAGACCACTTCATCGAACCCTCCATGAAGAAATTTCATGTTTATGAAAATGCTTAAAAATGAAATGTATATGAAAAAAATGCATGAAATGCTCGAGGTATTGATCTGAAAACATGTATGTTATTATAAATAATCCTTATTGGGGACAAAAGTATTTTATCTTTTAAGAGACAAAAATATCCTGACAGCTTCTGGCATGTTGACTAGTCTTCTTCCTTTGTCTGTCACCGGTTGAATAACCTGTTGAACCGCTCTAGCTTATCTGGATGAACCGTGCAAATGTTGAGTTGCTTTTTGTACTGGCCCAAGAAGTCTCGAATGACTGCATCTCTGGCATTTATCTTCTATTGAACCTTTTCCAAACGAATACGTCAGTGGAGCCCTCAATTGATATGAACTATGCAAAGTTCATTTGTCTGTTTCTTGAATTCGTCAGCAATGGTCTCAAATTTCAGCTATCGTTTTGCCATCGTTGTCTTTGAAGGGACTCCCAAGATCAGTAACCTTCATCTTGCCCCCGCAACCTCAGCCAGACAGTTCTTCAAAGATAGACTTTCATTGTGCTTGACGTAGACCCAGTTCATTCTGAGTCCTTTATAATGCAGTAGAGTGATACACTCTTCAATTGTGGGTACCACGTTTTCTGGATTGACTTGTATTACAACCCCTTTGTCCATTAATACAGATTATTCATGTTTAACAAACATATTTTTGGTGGATCAACACCTCTTTTAAATGATGCAAGTGATGAAAATAAAATAAAATAAAAATGAAAAGAGTTAGTGATGTGAAAATAATAAAAAATAATCATGAAAAATAAAAAGTCCTACCCCACATGCTTTAATTCCTACCCGGACATGATCTCTATCCCGCATGCTAATTTCAAACAAATTCTAATCGCATATTTGTCTAGTTCGCATGCTTTGAACAGAAAGTAAAGCAGGAAAGAAAGTAGTCTAGGGTTTGGAATGAGGTTTCGGGGTGGGCTCTAATTCTTCATGGTCTACCGGTTTAGGTTCTAAAAAATGGTACTCGAGTTCTCCTTGTCGGTGCCCCCTTGGGCTTGTCAGACCCTCAGTCCTAAGCCTATTACAAGCTTGTGTGGACTAAGTTAAACTCAAGAGGATACATTTCCTTATGCCAATACGATGAATAAATTCACACGAAGACATAAGATATATGAATCCCGAAGGCTACTTGCTAGGCCTATACGGTGAATAAATTCACACGAAGGCGTCGCTTTTACCCCCCACTTAAATAGGGTTCGGAGCTCGGGTATAGAGCCTGAGATGAAAATTTTGAAAATCTGAAATCATTGAGAAAACGTCAGTACAACTATTTATTTGAAAAAAATAATCAAAGGTAAATAATTGGAATCGAATAAATAAATTTAAATTTACCATTTTCGCTTAAAACGAAAACCGAAAATTAATTTAGGCCTGACTCACTTACATCTCCCCAGCAGAGTCGCCAAGCTGTCGCAACCGCCTTTCGGGTGGGCCCGAAATTTGGCTTCGACTTGAAATAAAATATTAGGAGTCGCCACCGATCATTTAAAAAATATTTAGGTTGATCGGATACCATCTTACTTGATCTGCGTTTTACCAGAAATATGTCGGGCTCGGGAGTCGGTTATAGTCAATGAAGGATTAGCACCCTTGAACTACCCTTTCGGTACCATTTAATTTATCGGTTGTCTTAATTGCAAAAATTAAAATTTAAATTAAAATTTAAAAATTCGATCATAATTATTTACCTTTTTGATCAATTAAAATTATCACTAGAAATATAAAAAAAATAAAACCAACAAAGACAAAGAGTTAGTATTAAAAGATAAAATATAAAATAGGTAAATAAATAAATAAAAGGGAGTGAAACAGAATTTATATAAAAAATAAAAAAATAGAAATAATTAAAATTCACGAATCGAATTAATTATAGGAATGAGCTGCAAGAGAAAAACAGAAACTTAATAGATTAAATAGCAAAAAAAAATAAAGTACTAAAATAGCACAAACAGAAAATTAAAGGATTAAAGTAAAAGGACCTAATAAATAAATATGAACAAATAAGATCCTCAACAATCAATTTAAAATAAAATACATGAGCCTAAATTGTAATAAAATCTAATTATGTTGACTAAAATGTATAAAACAAAATAATAGCTAAATAAAAAAAACAAGGATCCGAATAAAAAATTAAAATAAAGTGGCTAAATTCGAAGATTATTAAAATCAATATTCATTTTCGAAACACATAACAAAATATATGACCAGAGTGCAAAAGGCATTAAAATAAGGGAGCTTAAAAGTGATTTTACCCTGTTAGGACCAAAGAATAAAACACACTGAACATGAGGTCCTTATACGTGATTTAATCATTAATATATATGAACAAAACATAAAGCTCCTAAAAACTAGTGGCCTGACAAGTGATTTAACCAAAATGTTTTAAAGCTTAATATCTTCTCATTTCTTCCCACTACACGTGAGCCAGATTAGTTTTTTCATTTCTAGTTTTTCACTTTCTTTTTCTTCACAGAGCAACCATGGCGACCCAAATTTCCAGTAAACTCGAGATCCACACCGACCACTCAACTCTAGAGCCGATGACGACGACACCCCTACTCCGACGTACTGCAGCAAGGTAACTTAACTCTCTATCTCTATTTTAATTATTATTATTTTTTTAAACTCATGGATTTTACATTAACTATGAACAAAATTACAAACTAAAATTCTTATTATTAGTTGCATTCGAATTGAACAAATAAATTAAAGAAAACTGAAATATAAACTGAACTACCTTAGGATTGCTGGAAAAAAAATCTGTATTTTATTGCTATCCTCTTTTAAAAAACGAGAGTATTCCCCTTACAATTGTTTCTCCCCCTTTACATTGTTTTAGTATCTGGGTTTTATACCCTTACAAATGAAGAAAAAAACAAACAATAATGGAGCAATATGGGTGAAGCGGTATGGGCAGCGACACATCATGGTGGAGTTGAACATGGGTGAAGCGTTAGTGTGTTGTGTTGGTGGTCGACAAGTATGATCACGAGATGAGTGTATGCAGCGTGGGTGAAGCTGGCGTGGGGTACTGCAACTTGGACAAAAATTGGTTATTACAATTTTCAAGCTCGTCATCCGAGGCTACAATTCCAACTATGTTTTTCTTCTTAGATGACTTCTTCTTACCTGAAAATCCAAATGAGGAGTATCTTATTCCTTATCTTCTTTCACACCCTTTTCGTCTTCAAGATCATCACCCAAGACGTGCTCACTTGCCAACGCCACTTTCAAGCTCGGGAAACCGATATCTTCCTTGTTACCAATCCCAAATCAGAAACCACATGGTTCAAGGTTATTATTTTTGCCTTGATAAATTGGTTCCAAGTTCCAACATCCATTCACCGATGACAATCAACCTTCGCTCTCGAAGAATCCTTACTTCTTGTTTCATTCTTCCTGGCCGAGCTTCACGTCGATGGTCAAGTTTATAATTTCATCGATTCTACATCTTCAAGAATAACTGCTACTTACTTACCCACTTTTTATTGCTGGACTCCATAAAGAACTCGTCTTTTAAGATTTTATATTTTTGTAGGAACCCAAATGGCCAAATGCTACTTTCGTCTCGCTTTGGCACTTCACAAACAATCTAAGCGAACAAATATTGAAAGACAAAGTAAAGGTGCATTTGCAGGTGGGGGGAGTGGGTTTGAACTCGTCCAAGGTGGTGTAGGTTTCATGTCCCGAGAGCTCTTCATTTGCTTGCCACATAGAAGGTCAAAATTACCATTGACTGATCAAAATGACTGTAAAGAATAGAGGGTTTAGCGCCATTATAACGCTGTTATAAGATTAACAGTAGAATGACAAAAAAAGTTCAATGTCTAAAGTGAGAAAATTGAAACAATTGAAAGTAAGGTGAGTAGAATATGAGAGAGAGTAAAGTTCAGTGAGTAAGAATGTAATTTACCCAATTGTTTATAAAACGGTCGATTTTCCATCGATGTTGTATTTTGGAAAATCTAAATAAAAAGAATAGTATTTTGGAAAAATATCCACGCGAGAAAAGGGCGCGTGCATAACATCTTCACGAAACAGCCCAATAAAATCCAAACCCTTAGAAAATAACCGTTCCTTGTAATTTCCGTCTGTCCCTCTCTTTCTTCAACCTTAAATCAATCGAAGCGATCTAAGAAACACAAAAGATTGCTTTTATTTTTGGGAGGGAAAAGGGAGGAAATAATCCCCATCATGGGAATTACAAATTTCTCTCCTTTTCCCATTATTTTCCTGAGTTTCGTTCTTAATTTTCTCACCGCCCAATCATCACCCCCTCCTTCAATCTACGACCACTTGAAGCACAACGGCCTCCCTGTAGGTATCTTCCCGAAGGGAGTAACAGATTTTTCAATTGATCACGAGACGAACCGTTTCCAAGTGAACCTAACCCAACCCTGCAACTCTGACTCCGAGATCCAATTCCATTACGATTTCAACATCACCGGAACCTTATCTTTCGGGAAGATCGCGAACTTGTCCGGTGTGTCCCAGCAGGAGCTGTTCCTATGGTTTCCCGTCATTGGCATACGCGTCGATGATCCTGCCTCCGGTTTGATCAACTTTGATGTCGGCGTCGTTGACAAACAGTTCTCCTTGTCCTTGTTCGAGACCCCCCTTGATTGCACCGCTGTTGATCCTAATGATTCCTTCTCGAGTTATCAGGTTCGTTTCTTTTATTCAATGTACAATTAGGCTAAACTTCAGGTTCATGTTAATCTCGTTTCATCAACATCGTATTTACCCATAATGTTTGAGAAACAATAATGAACACATATGCAATTCTTTTAATGCCGCTTATAAACAGAATTTATTCGTAGAACTTCATACAAAAAATTCCTGGAATTCAATTTTCTGAAATGTGCATCCACATACACGTGCACACATGTTAAAAAAACTCCTGAGGAACATAGTTTGTGTAGGCATGATTCATGATGTGCATTTTTTAAAAAGAAAAAAGGGTTCAAAATTGAACGTCTCTCATTATTTTTGTGTGATTGTCATCAAATTGTGGAATGTGATTTGTTCATATTACTGAATTGTGGTTGGTACGCAATGTATTGAACACATCATAATAGATTTCAATATTACCTCAACGTATCAGTTGTATCATAATAGTTCTCAAGGTTATCGCAACACTGCAATCGCATCTGCATCCACAACAAACACTGTCATCACAATTTATTACTATGAATTTGATAGTTTCCTAATTGAGCATGCAAGTTTCATAATGTGCATCAAATTGTGGAATGTGATTTGATCATATTATTGAATTGTGTTCGCAATGTAACTTACCGACAGCATCATAACGGTTTTCAAGGCTACTGCAATATTACATCCACAGAAAACACCACAACCACAATTTAGTACTATGGATTTGATAGTTTCCTCGTTGAGCATGCAAGTTTCATTTGCTCACTCAAGATAATAAGATGGATTATGTTGTCTTTGACTCTCTATGTTCCTCTCTTACACTATCTCTATAATCCAGTTACCATCCAAGTTACATGGTACTGAAACTGTTGAAGAGCAGAACCTGAGGGCCACATCGTAGACACCGGAGCCAGAGATATTATACTAAAGTCTCAAGGTTGTTGATACACGTGTGAGATTCTATTCTCTTATAAATATTCTCTTTAAAGAGTATATTTTGATGGGTCATTGGCTTCCAGTTGTGTGCACCCACTCTCTATGTTGTATTCTGTCATAGTAAGAATAGCATTTTTGGTAATTCCAAATGGTAAAGCTGAGCAACTTGAGTTTTGTATTCTGGAAATTGCTGTTGCCTGTTGTTATGAAATCACCGGACATAAAATGTACTAATGTTGTGCTCTGTAAATGGAAGAAACTCTTTCTACTAATTTTGTTCTTATAACTTTGGTTAAGTATTGATTTGTGCCTTGTGTCACTTACCAAATTAATGGGGAGCCTTCAGCTCATGTCGGTCACTCCTTATTCAACACGTATATTTTAATATTATTCTATTTGTAAATACTTTATTTATTTTCTTTAGATTAGGTTCGTGGAGCTAAAATATGAGTAAATTAAAAATTTTGGGTTCAACAATTGTCAACAATGACAATGGACGGTGACCGGTGATGACAATTGATGATGAATGGTGATATTGATGAGCGGCAGCTGAAAGTAGGATATTTTGATCGAATTTAGATGTCATATTGATATTTTATCCAAAGTTCAAGTATCAAATTTATATTTTATTTAAAGTTTATCTTCAAATAGATTTTGTCTAAAGTTGGAGTCATGTTACAATTTCCCTGGGATGATGATGAATTATCTGCTCAGTGTAGTTGTCTACCGTAGGTCCAGTACTCTTAGATCATGTGACGGTGGATAACAGTTGGAATAGAAATGATAAAATCATTTCCTCATTTGCTATAACATTCACTGCTGGAGTGAGTATTTGTGCATTACGATGCATGATTGGTGTTTTGTCCAAACCTTGTACCTAACCTCTACATATACATGCAAAATATGGAATTTCAGAGGCAATTCCACTCTCAGACATTCACCAATTCTTGCATTTTCTTTTCTTTCCTTTTTTTTTTTATGAAAACGATGAATGAAGTCTAAGTATCTTATGTAGAAACAGAGCTTAGTATTTTTTATGCCAAAAGCTACTTCAATGAAAGCAACGCCGATCCTAGAGTGTGCAAAAGAGTGCCCCCACTTGATCTACCAAATCTGGTTCATGTTTCATCGGAGCACGGAGCCGGAGGAGATAATTATGCCTTGGCCTTGGCTGCCGACAATGGTTATGGGAGGACATTCCGAGCTCATTCCTTCCACGCAACACCAATGCCTTGATCAGAAGCTGGTGCCATTGCAGTTTCTATGACCACCACCAATGACAAGAGAAAAGGGTATGGTAAAAAACGATGGCTTTGGTGACTGTGCTGGCCTTGCTCCTGCTAGAAATTTGTTCAAGTTGATCCCAAAGAACCCTTGAGAGTTTGAATCAAAAACTCAAGGTGAAGATACTAATTTTTTTTACCCATATTATTATTATATTATTATTATTATTATTATTATTATTATTATTATTATTATTATTATTATTATCATTATTATTAAATATATATTAAATACATATATAAATAATTAATTACAGACCCAATTACAACTGGACAGGCCCAGTTACAAACAAACCAGAACCGGTCCAGACCAACTAGAAACCCTAAACATTTGGGGGTTTCAGTTAGGGTTTCCTAAACCCTAATCCCAGCCGCCTCAGCTTGTTGCCGTTGGATCTGGCAAGATCCAACGGTCCAGATGGCTCCAGATGGAAACCCTAGGGTCTGATACCCTAGGGCCACGCGGCGGCCGTTGATGTTCTCGCCGCCTCCGCCGCTGCCACGTCCCAACCGAAGGCTCCAGAAGCTCCAACGCCAGCCGTCCACGCCATGGCTACGGGGTGAGTCACCACTGGTAGTCCGGTGACTCACGAGACCCCCTCTTCGGACCGGTTCGATGGCCACACCGGTGGTGGCTATAAAAGCCCCACCCGAACCTGAAAAAAAAGGGAGAGGAAGACAGAAAACAGATCCCAGAGAGACAAAACCGAAAAAATATATATATACAAAATACTACCAACGATCTCAGCAGCAAAGAAACAAAAAAGAAGGAAAAAGGAAGAAGAGAAACTTACCGAGGAAGCCCGACCGGATCTCACCGGAACCTTCGAAACACCGAAGGTACTTTTGTAGATTCGCTCCGATTGGGGATTTTAGGAGAAAATAACACCGGAACCGTCCTTAGGACGGTCCGATCTATCTATTAGTAAAATAAATTTTTCCGGCCACCGGATGCGGTGGCCGGCGGTGACAGTCACGGCGGCACACGGTTGCCGTCCGGTGACCGGCTTCCCTCCGATGAGGGAAGCTAGAGAGAGGGCAGAGAGAAATTTGTTCTCTCTGTTAGAGAGAGAACAAAGAAAAGGAAATGAGAAGCTGGCCCGTAGGGCCAGCCGGTTTAGGTTTAAATACCCTCTCCCGAACGACGTCGTTTTGGGGAGGGTATTTCTGTAATTTCACAAAGGGTAAACCCCGTCCGAAGCCATTCCAATTTGTAATTTTTACATTCTAGTCACTAAATCGATTTTATAATACTTTTAATTCAGATCTTTAATTTTAATTTTTTATTTTAGTCCTTTATATTAAATAATATATTTAGGATAAATAACAGATTTAATCCTTAATTTTATAAATAATATTTTAATCCTTAGTTTATATTTTTAATTTATTTATTCTAATCCGAATTTTAGATTATTATTTTAGTCACTAAATTATTAAATAAGAAAATAACATGTTTAATCCCTATAATTGATTAATTATGAATTAGGTTTTCAATTTTAATTTTACTATATTTTAGTTATTATTTTAAGTATTTTATTGCTTTTAATATATAGTTAGAATCGTATTTTTTTAATTTTTATTGTTTATATATTTAAATATTGTTAAAAGTATATGATAAATAAATATTTATTTTAAATAAATTATTTTAATATTTAGTTTTCAATATCAAAGAAAATGACAGTCTTAAAACAACTGGATGTCCTATTCTGATATTTTAAAATTAAAAATTAAACAATATTATTTAAATTAATATTTATCAATATCAAAGAAAAGAACTGTCTTAAGGCACCTAGAAGTTCTTTTCTGATATTTTTAAATAAATAAATATTTTTTATATAATTTTGAAATAATAGGATTATAAATTAAATATATTTTTGAATTTTTAAATTTTAATAATAAGAGACAATTTAATTAAAAAGTACCAATTTGGGCGTTGTAGGGGTGCTAATCCTTCCCTAAACGTAACCGACCACGAATCCCTTTTATTATTAAAAAGAATGAATTTTGGTTATAAACGCAGATCAGTTCAATTTTTTAATTGATGTTTTCTTAAAACTCTTTTAAAAAATAATTTTTAGGTATTCGACCTACCTGACCCAAAAGGCCGATGGCGATTCCCCAAATTATTTTTAAAACCATTTATTCATATCGATTTTCCCGCCAAAATAAATATTTCGTGCCCGGACGAAAACCGGTTACGACAGCTTGGCGACTCCACTGGGGACCTGGTCAAACTTTTAAAAATCAATTATAAATTGTCTCCATTAATTAAAAATTAAAAATTTATATATTTAATTTTTAATTCTTTCTTTTCAAAATTTTTATTATTTTCATAATATTTACATATTTTATTTATTGTAAGTATTTATTTCATTATTTATTTTGTCAGAGGTATGAACATTTCTCCTCACACACAACACTTGCATTGCATAACATAAAGCTCTATAATTGAGTTGTCCCTTTTAAGTGGGAGTGAAAGCGACGTCTTCGTGAGAATTTATTCTCCGTGTCAGACCTAGTAAGTAACTTTCGGGGTTCATATGCTCTATGTTTTCGTGAGAATTTATTCTCCGTGTCAGGCATAGAGAAATGTATCCCCTCGAATTGAACTCAATCCACTTTAGTCTGTGATGGACTAGGGTTGAGGGTTAGCAACCCAAGGGGGCACTAACAAGAACAATTCGGGTACCTTTACTCTTAGATCTGAAACCCTGCATATAGAAAACCCTAGAAACTCTTCCGATCCTAAGTCATGCCGAAATTTTGTCTAAAATAGGTGTACACACAAGAGAAATGTATTCTAACTTTCTAGTTTATTTATTTTCTTTAAATTACATGTATATTTAAATTATTTAAATTTAGAAAAGCATGTTTAAATAAAAAATTATTTATGTAAATGTTAAATTTCTTTATTATGTAAACTAATTTATTTTCTTTTTGTGTGTTCTTTATTTTTCTGTTTGCATAGCATCATACAGGATAAAAGGCATTGATCCTTGTGTTAATTGTCTCATTGGAAAGCCTTCATCTATGGATAAAAAGTGTTCAAATCAAGTAATTCTGAACTCAGAAGTAAGACAGTGGGCTGAGGATTTACAAAGACAAGAAGGAGACAGTTTACAGGATGATTATATATCTGACTTGGCCAGTTATGCTCCAGTTTCATTAAAAAGAAATGATACGCAAGATTTGCGAAGCATTTGGGAAAGTTGGGATTCAAACAAAAAATTGCAGTTTTATCAGACTTACGGAGACATCCCATATTTGCTCTATGTAGAAGTTGATGATGAATTACTCCGAGCCCTAATTCAATTCTAGAATCCAGGGTACAATTGCTTCACTCTCAATAAAGAGGATTTGGTCCATACTATTGAAGAATACACAACTTTGCTACATATAGATGGGGCTTTGGAGAATCGAATCTATTCAAAGTCATTTAAAACTCAACCCTTTCGAGTTAAATTAGCAAAGATTGCCGGGGTACGAGAAGAATGGGTGGCATCACGTACAAAACAAAAAGGCGAAAGCGAAGGCATTGCTTGGACCAACATTAGAGAACTTATTCAGAGCCATCCAGATATTAAAGTACGATTCGATTTATTTGCTCTGGGTATATATGGTATGGTCATCTTCCCAAAAGTATTGGGATATGTTGAAGCTGCAGTGGTAGATTTGTTTGAGCAGCTACCGAAAAAGATTAATCCTGCTTCTGCAATCCTAGCAGAGACCTTCAGATCGTTTAAATGCTTGTAGAAAGTTAGAGGTGGACGATTCTCAGGGTGTACCCAGTTGTATATGTTTGGATCCGTAGCCATTTCTGGAGGACAGAAAAGTGTCATACCGACGCTTTAATACGGATTACTCACCATTAAAAGAATTTCTGGAGCAGGAATGGCCGAAAGAAATTAAGAAAGATATGTGGATTAATGCCTTTCGAAATTTACAAAGCAATGACGTGATTTGGCGAGCCCCGTGGCAAATCCAAAGGGAATTCT